TACTCCCTCTGCCCTCCCTTCCTTATTCCACATGTTCATCTCCAAACCGAAGATCCTTCGCCACCCCATTCATCTCATCCTGCCATGCCCTTCACCCCATGATGCTATGCGCCTTACTACATCACCCCATCCTCTTCCCGCATCCACCTCGCCTTCACCATCCCCTTTGCTCAACCATCATCTCACGATAGCCATGGCACACCCCTCCTACATCACCCAATATTCCCCTCCATGCCCCTCTCGCCCTCCTCTGCGGCTCACATATCTGTCCCCCTGTTCTCTTTCCTCCTCCCCCCTACCTTCCCTCGGATGCTCCCAGCAGCCGCCTCGCCCTGGTGGCATGGCGTGGAGGGAGGGCGAGTCAGGGAAGATGATGCCTGGGGCACGGACTGAACGGGGAATGGCCGCATTGGTCATGATTGGCTTACCAAGTTGGAAGGTCTTAGATACGAAACACGGGGGGCAGCATGGCAGGGCCACACATGCAGCAGCAGTGGTGGCATGCCGTGGAGGGTGGGGGAGTCAGGAGAAGAGATGTCTGGGGCACGGGCAGAACCAGGTTGGCCCCATTGGTCATGATTAGCTTACCAAGTTGGAAGGCCCCTTTTTTGCGAAACAGCACGGCAGCATGGCAGGCCACGCGTACACCAGCAGCAGGAGCAGCAGCAGCAGGAGCAGCAGCAGCAACAGTGGTGGTGGGGAAGTCAGTCAGCTGTGAGTGGAAAGATTCAGGAAGGAAGGAGGCGTGGCAGGGACGAGCGGGGCAGCAATATTTTGGGTGGAAGAGAGGGAAGTGGACAAATCCTTGCTCGTGCAAGGGGTGACGCAGATTTGTTCTCAGCCTTTTTGTCGCACATGACCGATGATTCGCGGCATTGTGAGCCAGGTGGCGCCTGTGGCTGTAATGTCTCTAGGTAGATCGGAAACTTAGGAATACCCAGGAGAAATAAAAATTTGGGGGTAGGGGGGTGCGGGGAGCGCATTAAAGACTAGATGCACATAAGGTTATTGAATTGAGTGCATTTATAATCTATCAGTGGCATATAAGCAGCATCACACTGTATCGTGGCAATAGAATGCTGTTTATATTTATCAGTGGCTTGAAGCAGCATTCCCCGAATGAGAGTTTTTTGTAGTGAATGGATTATAAACGTTCCATACCTAACCGCTGAATGGAACGTCTTCAAAGGCGAAAACACCGAGCCCTAGAATGGGGAGTTGTTTCGGACACGCACGCAGATGAGCATTCCAAAAATTGTTAGTCCGCACAATCCCAACTCAAGTGCTCTATGCATCCTGCTTCAGCCATGGCGACATCGAAGCTAGTGCTACGTCGACTACAATATAGGTCGTCTCAGGACGACAGCTTACATCAGCAGGCGCCTCGTCGGGTATTCTTCCCGAGACTTGTCCGGAAACGACGGTCTGATCGCGCTTTCCCAGTCACGTTTCTGATTGGACAGGTTCTTTCGTTCCATGGCAAGATCCAACGTGTTCAGATGACGCATAGACGGTTCTGGGATGGCAGCAGCTGGTTATGCGATCAGAATGAACCGCCGAGCACTTATCCACCCCCATACGACTGAATCTGATTGGATGGTCTCATGCTCTTCTGAGACGATAGTCACATTTGGATAAGGCTCAGCCTCGCTTGACTCGAGCAATAGGAACCCGTTATAGCGTCGCCTGGTTCGGAAAGCGACCAACAGATGGAAGTTTTTTTCGTGATTAGATGCCGATTGTTTCGTAGAATCAGCTTACCCGGGGATCACGAGTCTCGCTGGACTTCAGTCATCGACCGGGAGAGTACTACTACGGGCCTTTCCGTCTACAGTGAAAGCGCTGGATCTGAATTCAAGGCAGTGGTTGGCTTCAACCGATCATACACAACTTCGATTAGAATCTCGCAGCATCCGACATGGATTTCGAGGTTATTTTCAGAACTCCACCTGGTTTGACGAACTGTGGATCTTACGGCCGTACGAATGGAAGTGGCGGGACCGCTGGATCCGTCACGGATCACGACGAGAGTTTGAGTAGCAATAACTTCGGAAATAAGCCGACTGCAGCGTATGCGGCCGTCTCTCTCACTGTTGCTCCCGACGAGCTTCTCTTTTCGGTTTTCAACCGATTGTTCCAGTCCCACCTGCCCAACTGCTGCCTGCCATTCCCGACACGTCAGCAGCCGGGAGGACAGGATAGGGTGAAATCTATGGAGCAAGATTCCGAGAATCGGAAACAGGAGGTTCTTTTCATGGCTGTTGGGCAGCTAGTGTGCCTCTCTCCTGACTCAACCGTTGAGCAAGCCAAGCTTAGCGCGGGTACAACCATCAACGTGGCGTCCTTGAAAAATCAAAGGAAAAAGGGCATGGAGAAAGTCGAGCAATCTGGGAATCTTCTAACTCTTGCTTCTGCAACTGCAGTTTCTTGTTCTCTCCCTCCTACTAATCCTGCTGCTGCAACTGCTGCTGCTTTTACAATCCAATTGGATCCTAGTGAGCCGAGCAGCAACGAAGGCGAAGGGCACAAGCCGAGGAGAGAAGCTTCACCAGGTGTGGGCAGAGCAGGGCTGAAGTGCCTTGACTCTGATGCTGGCAGTAGAAAGGAAAAGGATGAGGAGGTCGTAGTGGGTGTAGAAAGCTTGGTAGAATCTGTTCAGATGTTGAAAGAGCAGTTTAAGAGTGTGGAGACGCTGTGCCTGACACTCCAGAGCGAGATTGTTCAACTGGGACAAATAACTGCAGCAGCCGGTGGGGAAGCACAGCAAGTGGGAGCGAAAGAGGAAGAAGCAGGTTCTGGCGGAAAGACAAGCTTGTTACAGTACGCTGAAAAATTGGAAGAGCACTTCGGAACTCTTAAGGTGCTGCAGAGGGAACGATGTTCTGCAGTCCAGACAGGCCAGAGTGAACCGGGTCAGCCTGATGAGACCAACGAAGGGGCAGCAGACGAAGCAAGGGTGGAAGAAATTCCAAAGCTGCGCCAGGTGCTCTCTCATGCGGACATGGTTCATTACTTGGACGTCATGGGCGGGTGGGATGAGGATCTGTGTGCGTGCTGCTTTGACCGTGCTGTGTGCCAGCGAGCACAGCGAGCTCTTGCAATGAAGAAGACTTGCGTTGCCACCTGCGCAAGCCGCAGCCTCGTTCCATCCCTGCAGCAGCCCCTGAGCAGCAGCAGCACAACCAGGCCGCTTTTGAGTCTGCTAAAGCAGCATCGGTGCAGGCGTTACGAGAGGCACACGGAATTCACCCTCAGGAGCAGTGTGTGCGGAAGCCAGAGGGCGCCTCGCCTTTGTGCGGAAGCCATGCTTCTCGAGTGGATGACTGAGCCTCGTGTGGGTGTGCTAATGGACCTGGGGAAGATCAGATCCCGCCTGCCTGCTGTTTTGTGTGCCACTACAGCTGTTCATGCTGCTGCTTCCTCTTCTCCTGCTCCTGCTGATCCTCCTGCTGCGCTCTCTGCTTCTACAGCATGGTCCTGCTGCTGGCGCTGCAGCAGCTGCTGGGCTGCCTACCGCCGTGCTGTCAGCTTCTCAACGTTCCTAGTGCTTGTAGCGAGGTCCCCCCGGCTTGTGACTTTATGGAAAGCACACTTAGCTTCCTACTCGTCTGCCTGGCCAGCAATTGTCGCTGAGCTGGGGGCGACCAGGCAAAGGCAGAGCGACAATTTCGCTTCCATGCTGGTGCAGGTGCTGGGGGTGAAGGAGAGTGCTGATCTGCAAAAAGGGTTTGGGTTCCTCGTGCAGCATTTGCTGTCAGGCGGGCTGAAGAAGGCGCATGAAGAGGGGAAGGGGGGAGCTGGGGGTAAGGCTACTGAGAAGGTGCATGGGGAGGGAAAGGGAATGGGGGGCACTGAGGAGAAGGCTGCTGAGAATGCGCATGGGGAGGGGAAGGGTTAGGGCAGATGGGTGGCTTCACATGGGAAGGACGATGGGAGACACGGAGAGGTAGAGGAAAAGAACAAGGTAGAGATTGATAGGGTTGCTAGCAAGTGTGGGAGGGGAAGGAAGGACATGAAGTGGAGGGATACTCTAAAGGGACCTGTGTGGGAGAAATATGTGGATGGCATGGCTTGGATTCTGGAGCATGGAGGTGGGGAAGGGAGGGAGTTCCGGTGCAGCCACTGCAGTGAGAGCGGCGGCGGCAGTAGCAGCAGCAGCAGCAGCAGCAGCTGTGGTATTAGTGCCAGCAGTAGTAAAGAGCATCAATGCCCCAATGGGTATGCATGTGAGTGGCATAGAAGCGACCGATTTTGCCCTTGCTGTCACCACAGTGTTATCTCAACCAGAGCACTGGAAGGATGCAGAGCTTTACTTCCGTGATGGGAACACTGCGAGTAAAGTGCAGATAGAGAACGCAGCAATTCTGGTGGCCAGGAAAAGGCTGTTGCACCGCTTGAAGCAGACAAGGGGGACGGGTGGAGGAGCAGGGGCAGAAGTATGAGGGGTCCCCGCCTGCTACTGCTACTGCATGCGTTAATTTGAATGCTAAACCAATGCTTGTCAATACGAACGCTGTGGTTTCTGCACTCACGTATCGGGTCGGTTGCGTCTTGCAGTGGGTCCGAGTCTACGGCTCAGATTCCATCTCGGAGAGACAGTGCTCCAAGGACGACTCTCAGAGCAAGGTCCGGCCCATGCGCCACCTGCTTTGGGACCTTCCGAGCCTACTTGTCAGGTTCGGCGCCATTCCCAAGCCTTTGGAGGGAATGAACGTTCCTTTGGAGTGGGGGGAATGGCCTGGGGGCGACGAAGCTGCTGTGAAGTTTCCTGTGAACCGAAAGGAGAGGTGTTTTGGGCTTGGGATAGTGGAGGAGCGTGGTCAAGCGGCTGAGTAGCTGACTCAGCATCCTCCTCAGCACACATCTGAAGCAGAAAGGGGTGGCAGGCATCCAAAGGAAGAAGGACTGGATGCAGAATGCCAAGGAGGTAGTGAGGAAGGTGAATGGAGCATGGCACGTGGGATAGCTGAAGCAGGAGGGGGGGCAGCAGCAGGAGTGTAATGAGGAGAGACTCCAAGGCAATAGAGCTAGGAGCTTGGGAGGAATCTTTGAAGAGCAAGGCGCGTGCGATAGCTGAAGAATTTCCAATCGCCGATGTGAGAGTCACAGTGCTACCGCCGCCCAGAAGGAAGCTTCCCATTGTTCGCTGCCTGGCAGATGTGGATTTTCTGGTAGAGGTAGCTGGGTCCGTGATGGACCCTCCTGCATGCGCGCACTGCGAGGCGTGCGCCGCAGATTTCATGCTATGCGCTTGCACCGTTCTCTCATTGCTAACTTTGCCTTCCGCCCCGTCAGCCACTTATTCTCCCGCGTGATCTCCCTCTTCCCGCCGCCCTCCCTGGGCTTTGACGAGCTCATTGACTGCCTCGAGTTTCCAGCGCGCCTGCGCAGGCCCTTGAACCTGCACATGCTGCTGAGACGAGCCGAGCACATGCTGCTGAGACGAGCCGAGCAGGTGCCCGTGTATTTCCTCGTTCACATGGCCATCTGGTGCGCCCATCCTCTTCTGGAAAAGAGTGAGTTTATGGGGCGTGGCGTTGCAGCAGGGCAGGGAGTGCAGTCGGGTGCGAGCGAGGGCGGTGGGAAGGAAGGACGAGAAGGTGGAAGGGTGGAGGTGCAAGGCCACTGGGACGGTGAGGAGGGTCAGGAGAACGGTGGAGAGGTGTGGGAGGAGGTTCGGATGTGGTATTCCGCAGTGATGGCTGAGTGGAGGTTCAATGCGGAGGGTAAGGGAGAGAGCGAGGAGTGCAGAGGTAGCAGGGAGCAGGAGTGGACGGATGAGGACTGTGACATCACGTGGCTTCTTGATGGAGCTACCTCGCCGAGGTACTGTGAGGGGTTGCCGGGGCAGCGTGGGTCTGCCAATGGTAGCAACAGCAGTGGCAGCAGCAGCAGCAGCGGCAGCAGCAGCGGCAGCAGCAGCGGCAGCAGCAGCAGCAGCAGCAGCAGCAGCAGCAGCAGCAGCAGCAGCAGCAGCAGCAGCAGCAGCAGCAGCAGCAGCAGCAGCAGCAGCAGCAGCAGCAGCAGCAGCAGCAGCAGTGTTTCGAGGGGTGGTAGCAGCAGCAGCAGTAGCTCTAGCAAGGGGAAGGGGAAAAAGGGGGACGAGCCGGCTCATCTGAAGGCAAGGCCGGGGGGAGTCAATCTGGTGGCATGTCTGCGAGAGATGCTGCTGGGGGAGCCGTGCTACCGCCCTGCCTCCGCTGCCGCCCTTTGCACCCCTGCTGCTGCTATGTCTTCTTGTCCTGCCGCCTCTCCCAACCCTGTTGCCACCCCTGCCGTCTCTCCCTCCCAACCCTGCTGCAATGAGCATCCGTGGTGCTGCTGTTCCAGACGTGCAAGGCCGTGCAAGGAGTGCTGTTGTCACCCTTGGCTCTGACCCTGCTGCTTGTGGGGGGTGTGCGTGCGGTGCTGCGGGGTGCGAAAGGGTGGAGGGTTGTGGTGTGAAGTTCAAGAACTGCTCTGGGTGTGGCAAGGTGGCGTATTGCAGCAGAGAGTGCCAAAAGGCGCACTGGCCCTCTCAAGCCCACATGCCCCGGCAAGACCAGCGGGAGGAGCAGTGGGAGGGATGGGGCCAGAGATGGCTGCTAGAAAGGTGGTAGGGTGAGGTGTGGGGATGGTGGCAGGACGATCGAGAGAGGTCAGTTGCATGACATGTGCATGGACAGTGCTGGGCACGGCTATAAGCGAATTTTCAAGGAGAGTTTTGAAGAGTAGGTTGTTCACTAACCCATTGAACCACTTCTGATTCTAGAACACTGATAGTAAATTGGCCCCGTTTTTCTGATTGTAGTGGCAAGAATGTTGACAATAACTATGTACAGTAGAAGTAACAAATCATATTACTATATGTGGCAACGAATAGCGAATCCGCGGTTGAGCTGTATGACCAGATATTACAGCTGTAGCAGCCGTTTGGTTGCTTCAGCCCTACAGAGAAGAGAGGGGGAGAGAGGGTACAAGGGGAGGGAGAGATGGAGGCGGAGAGGGAAGGGGGTGAGAGAGGGGGAGAGAGGGTACAAGGGGAGGGAGAGATGGAGGGGGAGAGGGAAGGGGGTGAGAGAGGGGGAGAGAGGGTACAAGGGGAGGGAGAGATGGAGGCGGAGAGGGAAGGGGGTGAGAGGGGGGCAGAATGGAGAGGCAGGCCAATGGGGGGGTAAGGGGCATGTGGGAGGCATCAACCGCAGATAGCTTTTTTGAAGGTGCCTCAAAGTCCAGTGCCCAGAAGTTCTATGCGCCCAGAAGTTCTATGTGCATGGAACAACATATGAGCAGCCATACCTGCATGCGCGTGCAATGTCGTCCCGATCCAGCAGCCCCACCAGCAGCAAGTCACTCCCCCTCTCCTCCCTCCCCTCCCCATCCCCAAACCGCCTCGCGCCCCCTCCCCCCTCATCCATCCCCACTCCCCTCCCACCTCCCTCCACCCCACGCCCATCCACTCCCTCCTCATTCCCTTCTCCTGCTTGCCCCTCTCCCCCTCTCCCCTCCCCTCTCCCCTCCCCTCTCCTTGTCTCCACTCGGATCACCACGGGCAGCTGCCTGATCCCGCGGGCAGTGAGTCTCCTCCTGGCCTCGTAGAGAGAAGCGGCTGGGGAGATAGTTTCCAGCTGCTGCCACGGCGTGCACAGCACCGACACTGGTAGCGCCTCCACCGCCCCCTTTACAGTCACGTTGGTAGCAGTCACCCCGGCCGCAGGACTATTTCCAGCCTCACCAGTGCCACCAGAGCCACTATCCTCACCGCTCCCATCGCTCTCTCCGCTGCTTCCTTCCCCTGCTCCCTCCCTTTCTGCTCCCGCTGCTCCCGTCCTCCCTTCTCTCCCTCCCCGCCCTCTCCTCCCGCCCCTCCCTCCTCGCCCTGCTCCCCTTCTCTCAGCAGCAACCCTCCTCTCCACCTCCTGCTGCACGTCCACCAGTGTAAGCAGCCCTTCCAACCGCCCCCCATCCCCCACCACCACGCAGCACCACTGCCGGCTGGCCACCATCGCTGCCACTGCCTCGCCCACCGTACTCGGCCTGTACTCCACCTCTTCACCACCTGATTCCGACTTTTGAGACGTCTCAAAACTCGGCCTGGACTCCACCTCTTCACCACCCCTTTCCTGTGCCCTATACTCCTCCTCCCGCACACCACTTGCCTGTGGCCTATACCCTGCCTCTCCATCTCCTCTTCCCTGCCGGCTGTACTCACGCGGCTGCACCAGCATGAGCGGCACGGCGGCAACAGCGGGGCTCGAGGCAGGGCGCATGGCAGCAGAGACCGGCAGGGCGCGCTGCACCTGCTCCTCCAGCAGCACGCCATCGCGCACGTCCAGCGATGCCGAGTCGTCCGAGAAATCTGTGTAGTCGCCTGCTGAGGCGATGGCGAGCGGGAGAGGCACGGGGAGGGGTGAGCGGGAAGAGGAGGGCGCGGCGGGTGTGGCTTCTAGGGAGGGTGGGACGGGTGGTAGGGAGGAGGAGGTTGATAGCTGTGATGTTGCTGCTGCTGATACCGCCACTGGTGCACTCTGCTGCTGCTTCTGCTGCTGCTGGTGGTGATGGGGATGATGGTGGGGTGGTGGCAGGAGCAGCGATCCAAGCGGCGATGCCAACAGCGGCCATGAGGGGCAGAATGATGCGGTAGTCACGGGTGAGCTCGAAGAGCAGCAGCACTGATGTGAGTGGCACCTGGCACACCCCGGCTAGCGTTGCTGCCATGCCCACCTGGATGATGAGGGGGGTATGAAAAGGATGTAGAGGAAGACACGGAGATGGAGAGTGACGTGATGTGATGTGATGTGATGTGATGTGATGTGATGTGATGTGATGTGATGTGATGTGATGTGATTTGAGGTGATGTGACATGGCGTGACGTGACGTGACGTGACGTGACGTGACGTGACGTGATGTGACGTGATGTGATGTGATGTGATGTGATGTGATGTGATGTGATGTGATGTGATTGGGATGTCATGTGATGGGATGTGATGTGATGTCATGTGATGTGATGTGATGTGATGTGATGTGATGTGATGTGATGTGATGTGATGTGATTGGGATGTCATGTGATGGGATGTGATGTGATGTGATTTGAGGTGATGTGACGTGACGTGACGTGACGTGACGTGACGTGACGTGACGTGACGTGATGTGTTGTGATGTGATGTGATGTGATGTGATTGGGATGTCATGTGATGGGATGTGATGTGATGTCATGTGATGTGATGTGATGTGATGTGATGTGATGTGATGTGATGTGATGTGATGTGATGTGATGTGATGTGATGTGATGTGATGTGATGTGACTTGATGTGATGTGACGTGACGTGATGTGATGTGATGTGATGTGATGCGATGTGATGCGATGTGATGTGAGTGGTCATGAAGAAAACGACTGCTGTAAAGGAGCGCAACCAAACACCTGCCATTACTAAGAAACCCAGACGGATGTGCAGCCACACACAAACCCACCCACCATGGCATACGCTTCAGTTCAGGAGCCACCACTTGAATCCACGGCAGGCTGTACTCGGGGCCCACAACCACCTGCGCGTCACTTGTCTCTCGCCCGAGCATTTGCTGCTCCGTGATGCACCCATGCCTCCCTTCACTGTAGCACACATACCCAACTTACCATGGCATACGCTTGCAGGGCAGCCGCTTGGATCCACTGCAGGTTGTACTCGGGGTCCACAGCCACCAGCACATCATGTGCATACACCTGCTCTAAGGGTAAGGACCATGACTCTTATGCAGCAACACGGAAACTCGGCCTACCATGGCATAGGCTTGTGGGGCGGTGACTTGGATCCACTGCAGGTTGTACTCGGGGTCCACAGCCACCAGCACATCATGTGCATACACCTGCTCTAAGGGTAAGGACCATGACTCTTATGCAGCAACACGGAAACTCGGCCTACCATGGCATAGGCTTGTGGGGCGGTGACTTGGATCCACTGCAGGTTGTACTCGGGGTCCACAGCCACCAGCACATCATGTGCATACACCTGCTCTAAGGGTAAGGACCACGACTCTTATGCAGCAACACGGAAACTCGGCCTACCATGGCATAGGCTTGTGGGGCGGTGACTTGGATCCACTGCAGGTTGTACTCGGGGTCCACAGCCACCAGCACATCATGTGCATACACCTGCTCTAAGGGTAAGGACCATGACTCTTATGCAGCAACACGGAAACTCGGCCTACCATGGCATAGGCTTGTGGGGCGGTGACTTGGATCCACTGCAGGTTGTACTCGGGGTCCACAGCCACCAGCACATCATGTGCATACACCTGCTCTAAGGGTAAGGACCATGACTCTTATGCAGCAACACGGAAACTCGGCCTACCATGGCATAGGCTTGTGGGGCGGTGACTTGGATCCACTGCAGGTTGTACTCGGGGTCCACAGCCACCAGCACATCATGTGCATACACCTGCTCTAAGGGTAAGGACCATGACTCTTATGCAGCAACACGGAAACTCGGCCTACCATGGCATAGGCTTGTGGGGCGGTGACTTGGATCCACTGCAGGTTGTACTCGGGGTCCACAGCCACCAGCACATCATGTGCATACACCTGCTCTAAGGGTAAGGACCATGACTCTTATGCAGCAACACGGAAACTCGGCCTACCATGGCATAGGCTTGTGGGGCGGTGACTTGGATCCACTGCAGGTTGTACTCGGGGTCCACAGCCACCAGCACATCATGTGCATACACCTGCTCTAAGGGTAAGGACCATGACTCTTATGCAGCAACACGGAAACTCGGCCTACCATGGCATAGGCTTGTGGGGCGGTGACTTGGATCCACTGCAGGTTGTACTCGGGGTCCACAGCCACCAGCACATCATGTGCATACACCTGCTCTAAGGGTAAGGACCATGACTCTTATGCAGCAACACGGAAACTCGGCCTACCATGGCATAGGCTTGTGGGGCGGTGACTTGGATCCACTGCAGGTTGTACTCGGGGTCCACAGCCACCAGCACATCATGTGCATACACCTGCTCTAAGGGTAAGGACCATGACTCTTATGCAGCAACACGGAAACTCGGCCTACCATGGCATAGGCTTGTGGGGCGGTGACTTGGATCCACTGCAGGTTGTACTCGGGGTCCACAGCCACCAGCACATCATGTGCATACACCTGCTCTAAGGGTAAGGACCATGACTCTTATGCAGCAACACGGAAACTCGGCCTACCATGGCATAGGCTTGTGGGGCGGTGACTTGGATCCACTGCAGGTTGTACTCGGGGTCCACAGCCACCAGCACATCATGTGCATACACCTGCTCTAAGGGTAAGGACCATGACTCTTATGCAGCAACACGGAAACTCGGCCTACCATGGCATAGGCTTGTGGGGCGGTGACTTGGATCCACTGCAGGTTGTACTCGGGGTCCACAGCCACCAGCACATCATGTGCATACACCTGCTCTAAGGGTAAGGACCATGACTCTTATGCAGCAACACGGAAACTCGGCCTACCATGGCATAGGCTTGTGGGGCGGTGACTTGGATCCACTGCAGGTTGTACTCGGGGTCCACAGCCACCAGCACATCATGTGCATACACCTGCTCTAAGGGTAAGGACCATGACTCTTATGCAGCAACACGGAAACTCGGCCTACCATGGCATAGGCTTGTGGGGCGGTGACTTGGATCCACTGCAGGTTGTACTCGGGGTCCACAGCCACCAGCACATCATGTGCATACACCTGCTCTAAGGGTAAGGACCATGACTCTTATGCAGCAACACGGAAACTCGGCCTACCATGGCATAGGCTTGTGGGGCGGTGACTTGGATCCACTGCAGGTTGTACTCGGGGTCCACAGCCACCAGCATGTCACTGGCCAGCCGCCCATACGCCTGCCCTAAGGGAACGGATGGAACATGGCTCTTTTGCAACCGCAGAAAGACAGAGACCCACCACCCACCATAGCATATGCTTGCGGAGGCAGCCACTTGAATCCACTGTAGATTATCCTCGGGGTCCACCGCCCCCAGCAGCACGTCACTGGCCGGCCACCCGTATGCTTGCTCTAAGGTAACGGATGGACCATGGCTCTCTTTTGCAACTGTGGACAGCCAGACCGACCCATCACTCACCATGGCATATGCCTGCGGGGCAGCCACTTGGATCCACTGGAGATTATATTCGGGGTCGACAGCCACCAGCACGTCACTGGCCAGCCGCCCATACGCCTGCCCTAGTGCCGCCCCAATGAACAGTGACGGCGCATAGAAGCCGCCCACCAGGCCCGACCCGCGGCAGATGGCCGTGGCAACGACTTTGAAGGCGACCAGTTGGAGGAGGAAGTCGACCTGAGGGAGTTAACGGGGACACGATGAGGATATGATCAAGCGAGAGACGGCGCATAGAAGCCGTCCACCAGGCCAGACCCGCGACAGATGGCCGTGGCAAGCACCTTAAGGGCGACTAGCTGGAGGAGAAGTCCACCTGAGAGAGTGGAAGGGAGAAGAAATTTAGAGGACTTGGGGTTCGCTTTTGGAGAGGTAGTGGAAGGGTGGGAGGGGGAGAGGAAGAGTGCTTCTTTGAGAAAGTGAGAGACTTGAAATAGCCAACCAGGCCAGGCCCACACCAGGCCCACACCAGGCCCACACCAGGCCCACACCAGGCCCGACCCGCGGCAGATGGCAGTGGCAAGCACCACGAGGTCAGTATTCCCCTTAAGAGAGTGCGAGAGAAAAAGCAGAGGTGAAAACCAGAAGGCAGTGAGGAGGAGGCACAGAGGCCTGCCGGACCCCCGGTCCCCCGGCAGATGGTAGTAGTGGGATGGAGAAGGGAGAAGGGAGGAGAGGGGAGGAGAGTAGTGTAAGAAGAGCGCTGTACCTGCGGCGCACTGGCGAGAGGTCTGGAGCCGAGTAGGTCGTTGATGTTTTGAAAGCCCCAGTAGAGCACCTCGGGGTAGGCCAGGGAGATCACTCCCACTGACAGCCCTCCCAGGGCCGGCAGCAGCGCAGGGGGCAGCGGGGAGAGTAGCAGCAGGCGGTCAAAGGCGTGTGTGGCAAGGCGGGCTGAGCGTGTGAGTGCGATGGACACCCCCCCACAGCACAGGCCGAGCAGCAGGTAGAGGGGCAACTCTGGTTGTGTGTGTGAGGGGATTGGCAAACGGGGTTGGTAGGAGGGGGAAATTCACGGAGTGAGCTCGATGGACCCCCCCCCTCCATAGCACAGGCCGAGCAGCAGATACAGGGGCAGCTCTGGAGTAGGGGAGAGAAAGGAGTGAAAGAGGGTGGATAGGTGATGAGAGAGTGGGGAGGAAGTACGGTGTAGGAGGGCAGGGATGAAGCACACGGGTAGTTGTGAGTGGTATTGGGAGATTCTTAAAACAGCTGCGACAAGAGGTGGTTGTGAAATGAGGTGACTTTTGAGTCGACTCAAAAGTCACTTCTTAAAAACAGCTGCAACAAGGGGTGGTAGTGAAATGACGGGATTCAGTTATAAATGGAACCAAACCTGAATCGGTTGTAAGAATGTGGGTCGGTTGAAAGCTCATCTGATAATTTCTGGGGAGACTCATCCCTCAGTATGGTTGAGAACCGACTTGCTAGCATCCTGAACCCTCTTAAAGGGGTATTAGCAGGGTTGGAGCCTATTTTTGAGTCGACTCAAAAATAGGCCTCTGGTTGGTCCATCTTATTCTTGCTCTGACCTCAGCACTCACCTCTACCTGCTGCTCTACCTCACCTCTACCTCACCTCTACCTCACCTCTACCTCACCTCTACCTCACCTCTACCTCACCTCTACCTCACCTCTACCTCACCTCTACCTCACCTCTACCTCACCTCTACCTCACCTCTACCTCACCTCTACCTCACCTCTACCTCACCTCTACCTCACCTCTACCTCACCTCTACCTCACCTCTACCTCACCTCTACCTCACCTCTACCTCACCTCTACCTCACCTCTACCTCACCTCTACCTCACCTCTACCTCACCTCTACCTCACCTCTACCTCACCTCTACCTCACCTCTACCTCACCTCTACCTCACCTCTACCTCACCTCTACCTCACCTCTACCTCACCTCTACCTCACCTCTACCTCACCTCTACCTCACCTCTACCTGCTCAAATTGGTAGCAACACTCACCTCTACCTGCTGCTACCAATTTGAGCATACCTGCTGGCGACCGAAACCGGAGGGGAAAATCTGCTCGGGGATGTGGGAATCGAGTTTTGAGGCGCCTCAAAAGTGGGATGTGGGAACTGAGGGTCTGCTGCGAGCCAACACACCACTGATGGGTCCATCTTAGACCCCTTTTTCCTTTTCTTCTTCCTCTACCACTTCAGCCGTTGACTTTAACACCACCCACCTGCTGGCGACCGGAGCACATAAAGGGGAGTCTGCACGGCGGGGTCATGGCGGGGTCATGGCGGGGTCAGAGGCGAGAATTTGCTGTCAGATCCACCAGCACACGCCACAGATGGGTTCTTCTCATTCCTGCTCTGTGACCTCAGAACCCTCTACCAACTCCGACCTGGACACCATACCACCCACCTGCTGGCAATCTGCACGGCTGGGTCGGAGCCGAGGATCTGCTGTGCGACGACAGCCCACTCATACATGGATAATGGATTTTCAATTCTTTCTTCCTCTACTATTGGTGCAAAGACTCACCTGCTGGCGACGGGAACTCGTAGAGCGGAGGAATCTGCATGGCAGGGTCAGAGCCGAGGATCTGCTGTGAGACGACACACCACTGGCAGGTCATTCTTTCTCTTCCCCGTCCTCTTCTTCTAGCAGTAACACACACCTGCTGGCGACCTGAACTTGTAGAGGGGAATCTGCACAGCAGGGTCAGAGCCGAGGATCTGCTGTGAGACTCACAAGCTCACACACCACTGATGGGTCCATCTCGTTTGTGTTATGTGACCTCCGCACTCACGTGCTTGCTACCAGCCTCAACACACCCTCTACCTGGTGCAAATTTCAACATACCTGCTGGCGATCTGAACTCGTAGAGGGGAATCTGCACGGCGGGGTCGGAGCCAAGGATCTGCTGTGAGACGACGGCGGCGAGCACAGAGGAGAGCAGCACCATGGCTGTGGTGAGAGAGGCGGGCGCGGAGGATACGGACGAGCGTAGGACAGACTCGAGTGCAAAGAAACACCCTGCTACCGCTGCATTGAAACCTGGTGAAGAAGGGTGGGTGGGAGGAAGGATGGTTGCAGCAAGGGAGAGAGCAGCTGGTGAGGAGGATGGATTTGAACGCGAAAAGAAAAAAAGAAAGAAAGAAAAAAAAGCCTCTATGGAAGAGTTAGAAGAGTTTCAACAGCGGCAAGCCTACAGTTCTCACGTACAGTGAGATGTGAGATCCAAGGCTAATCTATGGGTACTAGGGATGACGTAGGTAGTACTCCAAAAATTGAGCAGAGTAGATGACAAGTAGTCAACTAACAATTCTGAGGCATACACGCGTATCGGCTGAAGCCTTTGTTAGCGCCATCTCAGTTTTTCAGGAGTGGCAGAATTTTCCTTTTCTCCCCCCCCCCCCCCCCCCCCCCCCCCTCCTCCCCCCTCCCCCCCTCTCTATGCTCTTACCCAAAATTCCCCAGGTTCCAGTCCCGCGGAAACGCATGTACCAGCAAGATTTACCAGCACAGGAATTTGATCTTACCAGCAGACTCTCAGCTCACGAATTAAACTGAGCGGCACACGACTCACCAGCAGAGATGCCAGCAGCAGAACCAGCAGCAACGAGCGCAATGGTGCGCTCCCGCCCCCCCTGCACCACCTTGCCTGCCCCCTTGCCCACGCTCGCTCCGATCTCCACACTGGGCCCCTCCGGCCCCAAGCTGTTGCCCGTGCCCAGCATCTAAAACCGTTGAACGCTCAAACCATTACCAGCACATGCATCAGTCTCGCCAGCACATGACTCAAACTCACCAGCACCAAAAGCAGACTTACCCGCAGAAATACCAGCAGCAGAGCCAGCAGCAACAAGAGCAATGGTCCTCTCTCGACCCCCCTGCACCACCTTCCCCGCCCCCTTCCCCACGCTCGCCCCGATCTCCACGCTCGGCCCCTCCGGCCCCAAGCTGTTGCCCGTGCCCAGCGTCACCGCCGCTGCCACTGCCTTGAGCACCGGCCGCAGCACAGCCACGAGATTCTGAGCGGCTGACTGGGCTGCGCGGGATGCGAATGAGATGCTGCTGTCAACGTCACTACTGCTATCACTGCTGCTGTCACTGCTGCTACCACTGCTGTTGCCACGTGGAGGCTGTCTGACCAATGGCAGGTCCTTGATCTCTGATCGGACGGTGTTGAGGATGCCCACCGCCACACCACCCGCCAGGGGAACAAAGATGTGCAGGTGCCACGTGGCGGCCACTGACTGGCTGCGCAGCCACGTGGAGCCCTCGGCGGGAGGCACGCCCTGCCACACTGTGTCTCGGATGGCGTGCACCTGACGTTGGCGCGGTTGGGGAGGGGAGAGTCGCGGGGAAGGGGTGGGGTGGGGTAGAGAGAGGAGAGGTGGCGGATGGGGGACATTTGAGTCGACTGAAATAGATGTCCCCTCCACCTCAAGCAGAAATAGACGACAGAAAGGCGCCTTTCCCCTCCACCACAAGCACCATCACGACCCCACGCAGCATGGCACTCACAGCTTCCTGTCCTACTCAGTCATCGGACTACTAACCTATCACCCACCCAATTATTGCCCCACTCATCTCCCTGCCCTTTACTGTCCTCGCCCCCCTCTCCGCCCCCTTCCCCCCCTCTCTCCCTCCTTTTCCCCTCCACCACAAGCACCGTCACACCCCCAAGCAGCATGGCACCCACAGCTTCACTAAAGAGCGAAACAGAGGCGCCGGTTACAAGCCAAACCACGCATGCCGTGAGTGGCACTGCTGACTCCAATAGCAGCTTCCTCACAACATCAACAACCGCTGCATGCTCGCAAGCACCTTTCCCAAGAATTTTATCATTACAGCATTGCATTCGTTGCATGCTCATACGCTTCAATTGCAACTTCATTAAAGAGCGAGATAGTGGCACCATCGGCAGCAGCCCGCAGGCATAGTCACGCTCACAACACATCACAACACAACACAACATGCGCTATGCTCATGAGCACCGATGTAATGAGAAGCAAGCACCAATTGTAATCACCAGCACCAATTGTAATCACCAGCACCAATTGTAATCACCAGCACCAATTGTAATCACCAGCACCAATTGTAATCACCAGCACCAATTGTAATCACCAGCACCAATTGTAATCACCAGCACCAATTGTAATCACCAGCACCAATTGTAATCACCAGCACCAATTGTAATCACCAGCACCAATTGTAATCACCAGCACCAATTGTAATCACCAGCACCAATTGTAATCACCAGCACCAATTGTAATCACCAGCACCAATTGTAATCACCAGCACCAATTGTAATACCAGGACCAATTGTAATACCAGGACCAATTGTAATCACCAGCACCAATTGTAATCACCAGCACCAATTGTAATCACCAGCACCAATTGTAATCACCAGCACCAATTGTAATCACCAGCACCAATTGTAATCACCAGCACCAATTGTAATCACCAGCACCAATTGTAATCACCAGCACCAATTGTAATCACCAGCACCAATTGTAATCACCAGCACCAATTGTAATCACCAGCACCAATTGTAATCACCAGCACCAATTGTAATCACCAGCACCAATTGTAATCACCAGCACCAATTGTAATCACCAGCACCAATTGTAATCACCAGCACCAATTGTAATCACCAGCACCAATTGTAATCACCAGCACCAATTGTAATCACCAGCACCAATTGTAATCACCAGCACCAATTGTAATCACCAGCACCAATTGTAATCACCAGCACCAATTGTAATCACCAGCACCAATTGTAATCACCAGCACCAATTGTAATCACCAGCACCAATTGTAATCACCAGCACCAATTGTAATCACCAGCACCAATTGTAATCACCAGCACCAATTGTAATCACCAGCACCAATTGTAATCACCAGCACCAATTGTAATCACCAGCACCAATTGTAATCACCAGCACCAATTGTAATCACCAGCACCAATTGTAATCACCAGCACCAATTGTAATCACCAGCACCAATTGTAATCACCAGCACCAATTGTAATCACCAGCACCAATTGTAATCACCAGCACCAATTGTAATCACCAGCACCATTTGTAATCACTGGCACCAATTGTAATCACCAGCACCAATTGTAATCACCAGCACCAATTGTAATCACCAGCACCAATTGTAATCACCAGCACCAATTGTAATCACCAGCACCAATTGTAATCACCAGCACCAATTGTAATCACCAGCACCAATTGTAATCACCAGCACCAATTGTTATCACCAGGACCGTTACAACGCAACACTCACAGCTTTGACGAAGAGCGACACAGATGCACTGCTGGCTTATACCAGTCAAGAGTGACACAGATGCCACCTGTCACGACGCCCAAGTCATGAGCGACACTGCTGGCATATATACCCACCGTGGCATGCTCTCTCACACACACACATACCGATACAATCACAAGCATCGTGTACCCACAGCTTCATTGAAGAGCAACACAGAGGTACTAGTGAGGAGTTTTGAGGTGCCTCAAAAGGCATATATACCCACAGTGGCATGCTCTCACACACACACCGATACAATCACAAGCATCGTGTACTCACAGCTTCATTAAACAGAGAGACAGAGGCGCCAGTGAGGAGCCCCACCACGCACGCCGTGAGCAGCACCAGCAAGCATCCGCAGCGACATCCACAATACACCAATCACAAGCTCACGAGCACCATCACGCGACACTCACAGCTTCATTAAACAGAGAGACAGAGGCGCCAGTGAGGAGTCCCACCACGCACGCCGTAAGCAGCACTGCTGACTCCGGCGGCAGCGCTGTCCCCACCACCCGCCCTGCCTCCCCCGCCGCCCGCGCCAACCTCCCCCCCACCGCATAACGCCACTCCCCCCACTCCCCCCACGCCACACCCCCCGCGTCCCCACCTGCTGCCAATCCTGCTGCTGCTAATGCCGGGGTTCCTGGCGTCGACTCTACTCCCAGAATGTGTGCTGCATCTGCTGATGTCGATGGCGCTCCCGAGCCCTCGTCCCCACTTTCCAACCCACTTTCCCCTGCCTCTGACTTCGCACCCGAACTCTCTTTCCCCTCCCCCGACCCCGCTTCCCCCCCTGGCTCTGATTCCGCTAGAACCGCCGCCGCCGAGCCATCACGAGATACAGACCACAGGCGACGCTCAGCTACAGCCGTCGATCTCCTTCCGCTCGAAGCCGTCGATCTCCCTGCCGCCGTCGATGCAATCTTAGCTACAGTAACAGCGGTTGGCGGTACATTCCACCCCACAGCGGCACGGCGAGCTGTCACAGGCAGCACAGATGCCGCACCCTCCCGTATGACAGTTCGCGTGGAGGACGGAGCAGAGGCGAACGCAACGAAACTCCATTTCCTCTGGCGCTTTGCACTCGACCTCGTTGCTCTCGCGCCGAATACAGCGGACGCTGACGGGCTACTAGTAAGGGGGAGAGATGGTACGGTGGAGGACGCGGATCCGGAGAGCCAGGGGCGCGAATGGTAATCATGGCGGTGGGGGGAACGAGGGTGCACGCGCAGCACGTGGGGTGGAAGCGCGGAGGGACGGTTTGGGGAGGAATGCGTATTGGCTGCCGATCGCGTGGGGGGATTCAGTGCGGGCGAGCGGACGAGGGGTGATGTTTGAGTCGCCTCGTATGCGGAGCGGGCGACGGAGCTATGCGGATTGGCTCGCGAAGACAGGGAAGGAGGCATTGCGAGCACACGCGGTGGTTGGAAAGCCAGGAAGCAGAATTGCAACGGTTACTTCGGGACGGGCAACAATGCAAGATCTACAGCGTACGCGGTGCGGAGAGAATATTTGTTTGTTTGGAGGCTTGCGCTACTCGTTTGCAACTGCTCGTGTGGCTATTACGGCACGTCATACATGAAACACCTATAGTCGAAGTTAAATTCTTCGACCTGGCAGTCAGAGGTCAATCAATCACACGGACGAGGACGAACTTCAGTGCGCTAATCATACGCGTTTCACGCGGGTTTTTTCGTAGTCGACTGGGGGAGCACCAGACGACTATCAGCGAAGCAGATGTTGGATTCTGCGTTCCTGTCATGTCCGCCGCCATTACCAAGACGCCCCTCGGAAAATGAGATTACACCTGATGCCTGATTGAGCCCCTCCCGGTTGCCTTGTGAAGGGGGCGTATAAGCCGTATCGTGCATCTCGCATAAGTTTCGTCAATTCGCAGCTAGCTAAAAAGGACTCGCAGGTGCTTATATAAAGGATCTGTAGCCTTATTCGTTGACATTTTGACTTCAGTCTCTTCAGTTTGACTTCGGTCTGTTCGTTACTATTGGTTCATAACCACGCGACGCGCTTGTAACGTGGGTGCAACAGGCTGGGGAAAAAACCTCGGGTGCAGCGTTTCCATCCGGTGCAGAGCAAATTCGCGTGCATGGGGTGGGCATCATCTGTACCATGCCACGGCCATTCCCGGAAAATCGATTGTTGGGTGCAATCTTTGGTACAGGACGCGTCCTGAGGAAATTCGTGAAAGGTCTGTGCGCTTGGTACGTCCCTTGTACGCTCTTTACGGTCTAATCCAGTTTGTCACGGTGCGAATCGGTGAAATCCAAAGACCGCTCATAACCGTAAGGAAAAGTTATGAGCCGCAAAGATTGACCAGTGTATGTACGAGCTGGATCCTTCCTAACACGTGGATAACTACGAACCACTCACACAACAACCATTCTATACGCTCCCACAATACTCGCCTCCATTCAGGATACACCATGTGTCAAGCCGACAACGACTGGGCCAAGTCACTGTCTCGTGATTGGCAACCACGTCGACTTGATGCTTCGCGAGATCTCGACCACGCTGGCATGCCGCAGTGCCACGCTCGTGCTTACGTCTCTGGATCTGTCAATGTACCAAAGCAGGAAACCGAGCTGGTACGCAATAGAAGAGACTGCAAAGCAGGAATAGATGAAGTAAGCGAATTATAAACCCTCACGTCTCCTAATATTTCTTGAGTTAACGTGTGCGACATTTTCCAAGCCATAATATAAATTAAATGAATTCATTATAGTTTATTATATTTTTGTTAGCTAAATCAACAAAATTTCAAAACCCCCAAACCAGTTAATCTATGTTGTATCGACACGCACACATTGTAAAGAAACACATATTTGAAGAAGACTCAAATAGAGAGGTTGACGCAGTCCCCCACAGAGCTCTATTCCTACATGCCAGGCCAGCGGTGCGGTACCTCACGAACGACGTGACAGCTGTTGATAGGATCTGTCAGATGGCTGATTTTTAGACGACTCGCATTATCTGCGAAGCACACACCACTTCTGAGGTCGGCCGTTACTGGAGCAGAATCGTTTTAATTATCCACTAGTTGTGAAATCGCAGTTAACATTCCTCTTCAATCTTCCCATTGCTTCCGTGCTTGACGGTCACCATGGCGGGGGCGGACAGGGTGTTTCCGTACCTCGATCTCGTCATCGGTGCGTCTCATCCCTGCTAATCCTTTCTGGCAGTCACGCGCTCGTCTCTCGCGTCTCTCCCTCCGATTACCTCGATCTCGTCATTGGTCCGTTCTAGTTCTCGCTTCCGCGTCTCCGGCGCTCGCCTCCCTATCTCCTCTTATCTTCTTCCCCTCTCGTCGTTCTAGTTCTCGTCGCTCGTGCTCCTTTCTGTTCAATGTGCCATTCCGATCCCGCTTGACCCTTCATTCTTCGCCCTTCTCCTTTCGCTTTCCCCTTCCTCCGTGCGTTCACTCCCAATCATTCATGCGCAATCCCACGCATTCCCACGCATTCCCACGCATTCCCCAGTTATGCCCCCCAGTCTGGCTCCTCCCGCAACCTCTATTTCCCCCCGCCCCCTCTCCTCCCCCCCCGCCCCCTCTCCTCCCCCCCGCCCCCTCTCCTTCCCCCCCCCCCCCCCCTCTCCTTCCCTCCGCCCCCTCTCCTTCCCCCCGCCCCCTCTCCGCCCCCTGCAAGCCCCCCCCAGATTTCTGCCAGCTCGACTCATTTGATGGGATCCTCCTTATTGATCTCCACTCCTCCTTATTGATCTCCACTCCTCCTTATTGATCTCCACTCCTCCTTATTGATCTCCACTCCTCCTTATTGATCTCCACTCCTCCTTATTGATCTCCACTCCTCCTTATTGATCTCCACTCCTCCATCCATCCACACTATCCCGCTTTCTCTCCCTCCTCCCTCTCCTACTCCTATCTCCTCCCCCATTTACGACTCTAATCTCCCCCTCTTTTCCTGCATCCCCGTTCCCCCTCCTCATCCCCCCATACATCACAGCCGATTCCGCCTGTAAAAGGCCCAGTTCGCCGCATTACTTCCCCTCGCTCCTTTAATCCCCCCCCCCACCCGCGCTTACCCCCTGCCCTTCCTCCCCATCCCCCCACCCCCTCTTTTCTCCTCCCACCCGCGCTTACCCTGTGCCTTCTCCTCCCCATCTCCTCATCCCCCCAACCCCTACCCACACTCCCCCATCCAGCCTTCATGGCAGCATCCTTCGCCTTCAAAACTCTCCTCAACCTGCCCTGCCCCAGTTCGCCGCATTGCTGTGCTGTGCCCCCCTCTCCCCTTTTTAAGCTGCCGCACACCTCTCTCACTTTCCCATGCTGTTCCCACACCACACCCTCTCCTCCGCTTCGCCCCTCTCCTCCGCTTCGCCCCTCTCCTCCGCTTCGCCCCTCTCCTCCGCTTCGCCCCTCTCCTCCGCTTCGCCCCTCTCCTCCGCTTCGCCCCTCTCTCCCCCTCGCCTCTCTCCCCTCCCCCCCTTCCTTCTTCGCCCCACACCCACGTCCCCATCCGGCTTTCATCGCAGCCTCCTTCGCCTTTGAGACTCTCCTCGACCTGCGCCAGTTCACTGTCATGCGTAACACCTCCCCATGCTGCCCTCCCCTCTTCCTTCCCCCCACCCCTACCCTACCAACCTCCCACCCCCCTGCCCCCTGCCCCCCTGCTTCCAGCCTGCATCGCAGCGCAGCCTCCTTCGCCTTTGAAACTCTCCTCGACCTGCGCCAGTTTGCTGCATTGCTACGCTGTCACTCCCCTTTTGAGCCTCCTCATCATACCTCACACTTGTCCATGCTGCTCCCCTCCCGCACCCCTCTCCCCCCCCCCCCCCCCCCCCCCCCCCCCTCCCCCTCCCCCTTCCAGCGTTCATCGCAGCGTCTTTCGCCTTTGAAACCCTCCTCGACCTGCGCCAGTTCGCCGCTCTGCTGCGCCCGTCCCTCCCCCCCGCGCTGGAGGGCGTGGTGAGCCAGGAAAAGTTCCTCAAGGCGCGCGCATACAGCCTCGACCGCGCCCGCCTGGGCTTTGTGCGCGGAGCAGTGGACTTTTGTGTTGAGCTTCTCATGCTCAAGCTCTTCGTGCTGCCGTGGCTGTGGGAGGTGAGTGAGGCAGGGGGGCCAGAACAGTGCAGGCTCAGGCCTAGGGCTACAGCATACAGCCTCGACCGCGCCCACCTGGGGTTCGTGCGTGGAGCAGTGGACTTTTGTGTCGAGCTTCTCATGCTCAAGCTCTTCGTGCTGCCGTGGCTGTGGGAGGTGAGCTCAGGCGTGCTGCTTGCTGCTTGCGTGCTGGCCGTGGGAGGTGAGCTCAGGCCTACGGCTACAGTACAGCCTACAGCCTACCTACCGAGATGCTCTTGCGAAAGCTCTTCGTGCTTCCATGGCTGTGGTGTTAGCAGATCCTCGGACATTTTCCAGTGAGCGGCAGTACTTAGGTTCAGGCTAGAGCAAGTAGGAAAAGACAGTGAAAATCTAACATGCTTCCATGGCTGTTGTGTGAGTAAGGTGAGGCAAGCTGGACTACCAGTGATGGCCCGTTGATTGACTACCAGCTATTGCACCTATGTGGGCCATCAACGGGCATAGCAAGGTGGAGTGTTAGAGCAGGTTTTAGTTTTTTTCCTCCTCGTCACCTTCCATCTATAGTGGGGCATCAATGGGTGCAGCGAAGCAATATCCTGTGTGAGAGTGTGTGTGAGTTACAACAGTAGCACAACAGAATCTTTGTTTCTACCTCCTTCCCTCTGTTTGACTGCACAGCAGCTTTGCGCATTGGACTACCACCACCAGCTGCTGTGGCCGTGGATCATCAATGGCTGCAGCACGATACAGTAGCACACAGTGCTCCTTTCTTCTTCCTCTTCCCCTCTGTATAACCTGACTGCAGCGGTGTGCATTGGACTACCAGCTGCCGTTGCTGTGGTCCGCAGTAAGACACTGTAGTAGCACGCGTTTTGTTTCTCCCTGCCCTTTCCCTCTGCCTGTCTTTCTGACTGCACTGCAGCGCTGTGCGTTGGACTACCAGCTGCCGTGGTTGTGGGGCATCAACGGGCGCAACGAGATTGAGCACTCCATCCTCTTCCTCTTCGCCTCCTCGCTCATCTCCCAGGTGAATTGCCTTTGCATTCGCTATTTATGTCCTTTCCATGCCATGATCGCGCCTTTAAGGGCCCCAGAACTTAGTAAATAAAGTAAAGGCAAAGCAAAGTAAGGCATGGCTT